TATTTAGGATGCTGCAGACACTCGTGGATTCCAGATAAGGTTTTGGACTCTACAAAGCCCTCAGATCATTAAATTCCAGGATAGTTGACGGTTATGAGGGACCTCAACCCTTATCTGAAATCTGATGGTCTTGAGGTTCTTTAGACACTTATGCTACTGAACAGCCATCTTTGCTAGAGACTCCCTTAATTTCAAGTCTGTCTCAACACAGTGGATTCCAGATAAGGCTTTGGACTCTACAAAGCCCTCAGATCATTACCTCCCAGAACAGATGAGGGTGATGAGGGACCTCAACCCTTATCTGAAATCTGATGGTCTTGAGGTTCTTTAGACACTTATGCTACTGAACAGCCATCTTTGGTAGTGATTCCCTTAATTTCAAGTCTATCTCAACACAGTGGATTCCAGATAAGGTTTTGGACTCTACAAAGCCCTCAGATCATTAAATTCGAGGATAGTTGACGGTTATGAGGGACCTCAACCCTTATCTGAAATCTGATGGTCTTGAGGTTCTTTAGACACTTATCTACTGAACAACCATCTTTGGTGATTCCCTTAATTTCCCAGTCTATCTCAACACACTGGATTCCAGATAAGGCTTTGGACTCTACAAAGCCCTCAGATCATTAAATTCCAGGATAGTTGACGGTTATGAGGGACCTCAACCCTTATCTGAAATCTGATGGTCTTGAGATTCTTTAGACACTTATGCTACTGAACAGCCATCTTTGCTAGAGACTCCCTTAATTTCAAGTCTGTCTCAACACACTGGATTCCAGATAAGGCTTTGGACTCTACAAAGCCCTCAGATCATTACCTCCCAGAACAGATGAGGGTTATGAGGGACCTCAACCCTTATCTGAAATCTGATGGTATTGAGGTTCTTTAGACACTTATGCTACTAAACAGCCATCTTTGCTAGTGAGGGACTAAGGTTTTGGACTCTAAACATCATTATTCCAGGATGAAATGAGGGACCTCAACCCTTATCTGAAATCAATGGCTTGAGGTTCTTTAGACACTTATGCTACTGAACAGCCATCTTTGCTAGAGACTCCCTTAATTTCCAGTCTGTCTCAACACACTGGATTCCAGATAAGGCTTTGGACTCTACAAAGCCCTCAGATCATTAATTCGAGGATATTGACGGTTATGAGGGACCTCAACCCGTATCTGAAATCTGATGGTCCCTTGAGGTTCTTTAGACACTTACATTACTGAACAACCATCTTTGCTAGAGACTCCCTTAATTCCCAGTCTGTCTCAACACACTGGATTCCAGATAAGGCTTTGGACTCTACAAAGCCCTCAGATCATTACCTCCCAGAGAACAGATGAGGGTTATGAGGGACCTCAGCCCTTATCTGAAATCTGTTGGTATTGTTAGTTGGTACTGTAGACAATTATGAAATTAAACAGACATCATTGCTAGAAACACCCTTAATTCTGAGTCTAAAGCCCGACCAAAGATGGAGCGATTTTCGTTTGATTCCCCCATCAACACAATCAGTGTTGATGGGATAATGCCTCCTGGGGAGCCGACCCCGCTGGAAGAACACAGTGATTACTGTCAGAGGCTATAATAGCCGCTAGCAATAATCGCATGTAAAATCCGACAGGCTGGTTGTTCGATCGACCAACTTGGGTACATTCATCCTGGCCATGCATAGACCGAATGGACTGAACCGTCTATGGCCGGCTTTAAGCTGGCCATACATAATTCAGTTTTTTTTTTTTGTTCAACCAGCAGGCTGATCGAAAAAAACTGATCAGATTTCCCCATCCCCACATTTGAGGTGGATGGGGGGGAATCCTCTCTGCTACACTGTTTTATACTGATACCGGGACAATGCCGCTCTCAGAATACACTGATCAGCGCTCTGGCCAATTGGCTGCTAACGTAACATAACTTTTCCAGCAGTCTGGCCATACATGGATTGAAATGCGGCCAGTCCCTGCTACATCAGCCGAATTTCGGTCTATCTATGACCAGCTTTAGTATGTAGGATTCCAGATAAGCCTTTGGACTTTCCAACACCTTCATCCAGGGGAGCTGAGGGCTAAGTGAGATCTCAGCTATTATCTGAAATCATAGGTCTTGTTTGTTGAGAAGCTGTAGACACTCATGAAACTGAATGGCATCTTTCCTAGTGCCTCCCTTCATTCCCAGTGCATTTCAGCATGGTGGATTCTAGATAAGGTTTTGGACTTTACAGAGCCCTCAGATCATTAACTTCCAGGACAGCTATGGGTTTAGAGGGACCTCAGCCCTTATCTGTTGAGGGTCAAGTAAGATCTCAGCTATTATCTGAAATCGGTAAGTCTTGTTTGTTGAGAAGCTGTAGACACTCATGAAACTCAATGGCCATCTGTCCTAGTGCCTCCCTTTATTCCCAGTCTGTTTCAGCATGGTGGATTCTAGATAAGGCTTTGGACTTTTCAAAGCCCTCAGATCATTAACTTCCAGGACAGCTATGGGATAAGAGGGACCTCAGCCCTTATCTGTTGAGGGTCAAGTGAGATCTCAGCTATTATCTGAAGTCGGTAGGTCTTGTTTGTTGAGAGGCTGTAGACACTCATGAAACTGAATGGCATCTTTCCTAGTGCCTCCCTTCATTCCCAGTGCATTTCAGTATGGTGGATTCTAGATAAGGCTTTGGACTTTTCAAGGCCCTCAGATCATCAACTTTCAGGGCAGCTATGGGTTTAGAGGGACCTCAGCCCTTATTTGTTGAGGGCCAAGTAAGATCTCAGCTATTATCTGAAATCGGTATGTCTTTCTTGTTGAGAGGCTGTAGACACTCATGAAACTGAATGGCATCTTTCTTAGTGCCTCCCTTTATTCCCAGTCTGTTTCAGCATGGTGGATTTTAGATAAGGTTCTGGACTTTACAGAGCCCTCAGATCATTAACTTCCAGGACAGCTATGGGTTAAGAGGGACCTCAGCTCTTATCTGTTGAGGGTCAAGTGAGATCTCAGCTATTATCTGAAATCATAGGTCTTGTTTGTTGAGAAGCTGTGGATACTCATGAATCTGAATGGCCATCTGTTCTAGTGCCTCCCTTTATTCCCAGTCTGTTTCAGCATGGTGGATTCTAGATAAGGTTCTGGACTTTACAGAGCCCTCAGATCATTAACTTCCAGGACATGTGAAGTCTCAGGCCTTATCTAAAATCAGATGGACTTTCTAGTTGAAGTGCTGCAGACACTCACGAAACTCCGCTAGCGGCTCCCTCAACTTTCAGTCCATCTCAGCACTTTAGATTCCCGATAAGGCTTCGGATCTCACCCAGCCCTCGCCCCTACAATGGATGGGAATGGCTGTAAATGGCGTCCCTCTGCAAGTTTACCATTTTCCTGGAAAATTTCTTTAAACTGATCCACAGACTCTACTGGAAACCGATGGTGCCGTCAAGTTTTCGATCACCACCTCTCAGAATAGCTGCCCCAATGACTTCACCAGTTTCAAGGGGATTGATCGGCTGCCGTCACAACCAGTTTGGCTCCTTCCACTATGCGTAGACAATGGCGCATGAATACTTAACATTCCTACCGGTTAACTCTGTCTATTTTTGTAAACTAAGAGCCGTAAAAGCAAAGCCGTGAGGACTTTATAGGTTCCAGGCAAGCACAGCGGATCGGCTATTGACTGGCCATGCTTAACCCTTACGTGTGCAGCTTCGAGCGACAGTTTTTGCTTACTGTAGTTTAGCCATTCCCTTGGAGAGAAGTTGTCTTGGCAGATAGACTTAACCCCTAACATGCTGCTGCTGCCCAAGACTCTCCCGTTACTAAAGGTGCAGGAGGCGTCGGTCTCCCCTCCCCAGAGGTATACTGAGCTAGGGGAGGGAAGCCGATGGAGGAAGGTTGACCTGTGATGTCCATAAGTTTTAATTGTGTGCAACTTATTGACCGAGAGGACTGTGCGTTTTATATCACCAGAACAATAACGCTCTCATGTGGGCGTTACTAGTAATGCAGGTACTTTTCACCCTTGCAGATTTGGGTGGGTTGTCTTAGCGTCATTTGAGAGATTTGCCAGCATTTGAGTCCCATAAAATAATAGGTGCATCACACAGACCTTTCTAGAAGTGTGGGAGAACACCAATCCAGGGGTCCTAATGAGTACCAATACCTGTATGTGTGAGGTAATACCTAGTGGTCACAAAGAGTGCTGCAGATAGCATATGACTGTGTGGTTACAGTGACCCCCACTGGTCTCTGTGAGTTTTGCAGACAGCATACATATGCTAGTGTTGGCGTTGGTGACACCTACTGGTCACCAGGAGTACTGCATACACAGTGACACCCAGTAGTCAACTGGTGTACTGCAGATAGTACTCATGTAGCACTCATGAGAGTGTTTCGGAGACTGCATATTTTACAATTTGAATGGAAATGACATCGTTGGTGGCAAGTACACGCAGTGTGGATTGGGAATACTTTAAATTGTACATAAGTGGAGTGTTGGGGGCCACTGGCATCCAGTGGGTATTTGCCGTACTGCAGAGAATTTACAAGTGCAGCACATTGGTGTCAGTGACTCCAAGTTCACTGATACTGCAGCAAATATTATATGACAGTGTGAGGGATGGTGACACCCAGTGGTCAATCTGAGGACTGCAAATAGTGCACACATGGCAAACTGTTGGGGCAGTGACCCCTAGTGGTCACCAGGAGAACTGCAAATAGTAAACTTTCTATAAGAATGCCAGAGCTTTGGCGACTCTGTACATGGTAATACTGTCACGTAGCAGGTAAGACCATTTTTCATCTCCACAGGGAGTTAATGTTGCCTCCCCACCTCTCACTTTGCTTCGGGACACTTTAGAGACTTCATGTGGACCTCTTAAGTAGTACATTACAAGTTGCCTAAGTGCCTCCATTGGAAAGGCACAGTCTCTCGATAGCGTGGCCTCAGCGGGTCTCATGTTTTGGGGTAGGGGCTCTGTGGCTGGGTGCGGACATGTTGGAACTAAACGGAGGGGGAGGAGGCGTCACTGTGAGCAGTCCTGGTCTTTGGCTGAAGGGCTGTCAGGTGCCGGATGTCCATTTTTGGGGGCGGGCTCATCATTGACTGTCGGAACAGACTGTAAGCTCTTCTGCAGATTAGGTAGAACCAGTAGACTTGGGGGGCCATGAGAATGGCTGCGCCGAGGTTGTATTCTGCAGACAGGCTGAACGGGACCTTGTAGAGAGGCAGTCCGACCCGCTGTCCATATACCCAGTACATGTACGGGAAGAGCAGGAGACGGCAGCAGAAGAACGTCACCAGCATGACGACACCATTGACCCGATGCAGAAGCGTGTGCTGCTTCTTGTACTGCAGGGAAGACAAGGCAGCAAGTCAACCACAATAAACGGTTAAAGAAGAACTCTAACCTAATGGATTAACAAATTATTTTTGTAAAACTGAACTCCTGGTAAGCAGCTGTTTTAATACATGCGGGAGATCTTGTACATGCAAAGAGGCTTGGACTGAGACTCCATCCAGCCCTGATCTTTACACACCTCTGTAACAAGAATTGAAATTGAAGCGATACACCACTGTTACCAATTTATTCCATTCAAATGTCAGGGGCACGATCTAAAAAAGGCACTAATGCATTCAGAGGGTCCAAACGCCTCCTTCATCCAGGCTTGACTGGCAACAAGATGAAGAAGCCAAAAGTGAACTGGACTAACAACGTTTCTTTCCAGTATGAATTACAAGCACAGGCCTTCTCAGCAGCTTGTGTGCTTGTTGGGCTGCCAAACAGTCAAGTCCTGATGAAGGGGACACTTGGACCCCCGAAACGCATTGGTGACTTTTTTGGGTAGTACCTCTAACCTGAAAAGGAATACAGTTGTATCTGGACTTCTTAGCAGGGGTGTGGCACTTTCATTTCAATTCTTGTTATATTACACTACAAGCCAAGGAGACTCTGGAGATCCTCGGGGGTGTAGAAGCCGCCGGCCCAGGAACTCCAGATCATTTACACCAGGGGTCTCCAAACTTTGTAATCAAAGGGTAAGTTTACTGTCCTTCAAGACTTTTTGGGGCCGGACTGTAGCCATTGTGAGTAAAAAAAAAAAAGGCCCTCACTTTAATTGGGGGGAAAAAACCATTTACACCATTTTTGGTGTCATTGGGAGGAATTGTGCCTCATTGTTGGTGACATTGGGATCAATTGTACCCCATCATTGGTGTCATAGGGCCTCATTGTTGGTGTTATTGGAGAAAATTGTGTCCCGTCATTGATGTCATTGGGAGGAATTGTGACATTGGTGTCATCTCATTGTACCCCATCATGTCATTGGGAAGAACTGTCATAGGTGTCATAGGGCTTCATTGTTGGTGTTATTGGGAGAAATTGTGTCCCATCCTTGATGTCATTGGGAGGAATTGTGCCCAATCATTGGTGTCATAGGGCCTCATTGTTGGTGTAATTGGGAGAAATTGTGTAACATCCTTGATGTCATTGAGAGGAACTGTGCCCCATCATTGGTGTCATAGGGCCTCATTGTTGGTGTCATTGGGAGAAATTGTGTCCCATCCTTGGTCTCATTGGAATTGTGCCCCATCATTGGTGTCAGTGAGGGTAATTACACCCCCATTGTTGGTATCATTTGATGAAATATTGCCCCAAGGGCCAGATAAAAGCAAGTAAAGGGCCGCATTTGGCCCCCGAGCCACAGTTTGGAGACCACTGATTTACACCAACATCAATACCTTTGGATCATAATACCAGGAAAATAACCCTATGGGTCCAGCACTTTCTTTCTACCTCCCTCAACTATGGACCAGAGCGTGGACCAGAGAGGGAGGACTGAGTGGCAGAGGATCAGCAGAGCTGGGGGACTGGATCAGGAGAAACTAGCAATGTCACTTGTGGTGCGCAGTGTGGGAGCAAGCTAGTGGGAGCTGAGCGGGGACAAGAGAGAGAGGAGGATTACTAAACTAGAGGATGGGAATTACTTCTGAGTGGGGGATCAGCAGAGCTGGGGGTTACTACTGAGCAGGGGATCTGCTGAACAAGGGTACTAATAAGCTGGGGATCTGCTGAACAAGGGTACTAATAAGCTGGGGATCTGCTGAATGGGGGTACAAATGAGCTGAGGATCTGCTGAACAAGGGTACTAATGAGCTGAGGATCTGCTGAACAAGGGTACTAATGAGCTGGGGATCTGCTGAACAAGGGTACTAATGAGCTGGGGATCTGCTGAACAGGGTACCAATGAGCTGGGGATCTGTTGAACAGGGGTACCAAAGAGCTGGGGATCTGCTGAATGGGGTACAAATGAGCTGAAGATCTGCTGAACAAGGGTACTAATGAGCTGGGGATCTGCTGAACAAGGGTACCAATGAGCTGAGGATGTGCTGAATAGGGGTACTAATAAGCTGGGGATCTGCTGAACAAGGGTACTAATGAGCTGGGGATCTGCTGAACAAGGGTACAATGAGCTGGGGATCTTCTGAACAGGGGTACCAATGAGCTGGGGATCTTCTGAACAGGGGTACCAATGAGCTGGGGATCTGCGAACAAGAGTACTAATGAACTTGGGATCTGCTGAACAAGGGTACCAATGAGCTGGGGATCTGCTGAACATGGGTACCAATGAGCTGGGGATCTACTGAACAAGGATACCAATGAGCTGATGATCTGCTGAATAGGGGTACTAAAGCTGGGGATCTGCTGAACAAGGGTACTAATGAGCTGAGGATCTGCTGAACAGGGGTACCAATTAGCTGAGGATCTGCTGAATAGGGGTACTAATGAGCTGGGGATCTGCTGAACAGGGGTACCAATGAGCTGGGGATCTGCTGAACAAGGGTACTAATGAGCTGGGGATCTGCTGAACAGGGTTACCAATGAGCTGGGGATCTGCTGAACATGGGTACCAATTAGCTGGGGATCTGCTGAACAGGGGTACCAATGAGCTGGGGATCTGTTGAACAGGGGTACCAAAGAGCTGGGGATCTGCTGAACGGGGGTACAAATGAGCTGAGGATCTGCTGAACAAGGGTACTAATGAGCTGGGGATCTGCTGAACAAGGGTACCAATGAGCTGAGAATGTGCTGAATAGGGTACTAATAAGCTGGGGATCTGCTGAACAAGGGTACTAATGAGCTGGGGATCTGCTGAACAAGGGTATCAATGAGCTGGGGATCTTCTGAACAGGGGTACCAATGAGCTGGGGATCTGCTGAACAGGGGTACCAATGAGCTGGGGATCTTCTGAACAGGGGGTACCAATGAGCTGGGGATCTGCTGAACAAGAGTACTAATGAGCTTGGGATCTGCTAAACAAGGGTACCAATGAGCTGGGGATCTGCTGAACATGGGTACCAATGAGCTGGGGATCTACTGAACAAGGATACCAATGAGCTGATGATCTGCTGAATAGGGGTACTAAAGCTGGGGATCTGCTGAACAAGGGTACTAATGAACTGAGGATCTGCTGAACAGGGGTACCAATTAGCTGAGGATCTGCTGAATAGGGTACTAATGAGCTGGGGATCTGCTGAACAGGGGTACCAATGAGCTGGGGATCTGCTGAACAAGGGTACTAATGAGCTGGGGATCTGCTGAACAGAGTTACCAATGAGCTGGGGATCTGCTGAACATGGGTACCAAATAGCTGGGGATCTGCTGAACAGGGGTACCAATGAGCTGGGGATCTGTTGAACAGGAATACCAAAGAGCTGGGGATCTGCTGAACAGAGGTACCAATGAGCTGGGGATCTGCTGAACAGGGGTACCAATGAGCTGGGGATCTGCTGAACAGGGGTACCAATGAGCTGGGGATCTGCTGAACAGGGGTACCAATGAGCTGGGGATCTGCTGAACAGGGGTACCAATGAGCTGGGGATCTGCTGAACAGGGGGTACCAATGAGCAGAAGATTTTCTGAGTGGGGGTACTACTAAGCATATCCTAAGCTAGTATAAATGAGTGCTTAGGAAGCTGATACTGGGCAACAATCCCATGAGCTGCTTTTCACAATACATTAGAAAGTTATAATAGGCAGCTGTGGGCATCACTGTTGTGGGTATCAATTGTTACTTGGAGGGGGGAGAGAGCTGTACCCACCTGGATGAGCACTTTGCCCAGACAGACGAATGGAGTGCTGAGTTCGGCCATCAGCATGCAACCCAAGAAGAAGTCGCCTTTTCCTTCCCTCCAGAGCTGCAAGAGAAATAAATGGTGGTCATGTGACAGACGTACGGCCATCAGACAGGCCATCAATGGTCTTCCTAGGATCTCATACAACTTCCATCCAGTTCTTTAGAAAATGAATTACTATACAGAGACAGAAAGTGATCCTGGGGGGGGGGGGGCTTGATAAGGCTCGGGGTTTGGGGGAGGGGGGGGCATTAAAAATGTGCGGATGAACTGTATTTTTAGCAGACCCCAACTAGTGCAAAAGGCAGCAGATGGGGGTGTTCACATGCCATGGTCTCAATGCTTTGCGCCTGCAGCAAAAGTTATCACTTCTCTTGCATTCAGCAGGTAGTACCACTGCAGAACGTGACCCAATCAAGTGAGGACGTTCTGCAAAATCCTCGCAACTGCGCGTAATTATGGAATTAAAACAGGTGATGAATCCTCCTCACCACCAGGTAAAGCGCATCTGAAAAGCAATCCAAATTCAGGTTGCTTTTCAGAGAGGTGAGTCTAACATACATCCTGTCTTGGGGTGACAACGCTCACTTACTGTACCGTAGCTATAATTAGGACTACAAAACACCTCCCTCTCTCTATACCATAGAGAGAAATGTTCTGTAGTCAACAGAGAGATAGGAACAGTAATAACTGATAAGAGCCAGCAGAGTCAAAGAGCACAGGAAGTTACATAGTTAGTCTGGCTGAAAAAAGACAAAAGTCCATCCAGTTCAATCATTAAAAAAAAAAAGTTATAATCCTACACCCACAGTGGATCCAGAGGAAGGCAAAAAAAACCAGCAAAGCACGATCCAATTTGCTCCTGCAGGGAAAAAAATTCCTTCCTGATCCCCCGAGAGGCAATCGGATATTCCCTGGATCAACTTTCCCTATAAATGTTATATTCAGTTATATTCTGTGTATCCAAGAAAGAATCCAGGACTTTCCTCCAGCAATCCACTGAGCTGCCCACAACCAACTCTTGGAGTCCATCAGTTATCAGCTGACAAGATTTCTGGCAGCACCAATAGGTATTATATGTACCTAGTTTTGTATTTACTGCAGCAATGCCACAAAAAAGCCCGGTGAGGCATGTCGAGGTGTTGTTGGGCATATTGTAGCCGGGCTCTTTTGTGGCATTGGCGCAGTAAAGGCTTCTTTCTGGCAACTCCACCATGCAGCTCAGTTTTGTTCATTGTATGGTACTCTTCTAAACAACCGCACTGTCTTTTTCCAGAGCAGCCTGTATTCCTCCTGAGGTTACCTGGGGTTTTTCTTTCTATCTTGGCAGGTGTGGCTGCAGTCCTTCTTGGTCTACCTGACCTTGGCTTGGTATCAACAGATCCCTCGAACTTTCCAGTTCTTAGTAAGTGATTGAACAGAACTGAGTGACATATTCAAGGCTTTGGATATCTTTTTATGTCCATTTCCATCTTTATAAAGTTCATTACCTTGTTGCGCAGGTTTTTTGACAGTTCTTTTCTGCTCCCCATGGCTCAGTATCTAGCCTGCTCAGTGTACCCACATGAGAGCTAACAGACTCATTGACTATTTACACACAGATACTAATTGTGATTTAAAAAGCCAGAGATGTGGGGAATTAACCTTTAACTGCCATTGTACCCTGTGTGTGTCTGTACCAAGGCCCAACATCCCAGGGGAAGGAAACGTCTGATCCAGCCATTCCGGGGATTTCTGTTCTCATTAGGATTTAAACAACTACATGATGATAAATGGCTTCCTGTGATCACTATCCTTCAATAAAAGACAGTTTTGGGGCAGAATCAGTCAGATTTTCAATATCAATGCCAACATTTCATGATTTCTGCCGGGATGTGCAAACCTTTGAGCACAACTGTATGCTATAAATTGTCATATATAATATATATGTCATGCTTTGGCCTTGACTCACCACAGACACGGGGAAGCAGACGAGGACCATGAAGACATGGTGTAGGACCATCAGGAACTCCTTATAGAGGTAGCCCTTGAACAGATCGCAGCCCCCCGAGTGCTCTTTCACCTTATGCTTGTGCCAGTAGCAGAGGTACATGGCGTAGATGTCATATATGAAGTAGGGCACAGCGAAGCGGGTGTAGGTGGGAGCGAGCCAGTGCCTGATGACAGAGAATGAGACCACAGTCACACACTATTATTATACATTATATAGCTCTGACATATACCGCAGCGAGGTACAGAGAACACTGAGCCAGTCACATAGTCTCCGTACCAGAGGAGCTTACACTCTAATGTCCCCCCAGAGTCACACACTATTAATATACATTTCTATAGCTCTGACATATACCGCAGCGAGGTACAGAGAACACTGAGCCAGTCACATCAGTCTCTGTACAGAGAAGCTTACACTCTAATGTCCCCTCCCCCACAGTCACATCAGTCTCTGTACCAGAGGAGCTTACACTCTTATGTCCCCTCCCCCACAGTCACATCAGTCTCTGTACCAGAGGAGCTTACACTCTTATGTCCCCTCCCCCTCAGTCACACACTATTATTATTATACATTTATATAGCTCTGACATATACCGCAGTGCTGTACAGAGAACACTGAGCCGGTCACATCAGTCTTTGTACCAGAGGAGCTTACACTCTAATGTCCCCTCCCCCACAGTCACACACTATTATTATTATTATACATTTATATAGCTCTGACATATACTGCAGCGCTGTACAGAAAACACTGAGCCAGTCACATCAGTCTCTGTACTAGAGGAGCTTACACTCTAATGTACCCTACCCCACAGTCACATCAGTCTCTGTACAGAGGAGCTTACACTCTAATGTCCCCTCCCCCCACAGTCACATCAGTCTCTGTACCAGAGGAGCTTACACTCTAATGTCCCCTCCCCCACAGTCACATCAGTCTCTGTACCAGAGAAGCTTACACTCTTATGTCCCCTCCCCCACAGTCACATCAGTCTCTGTACCAGAGAAGCTTACACTCTTATGTCCCTCCCCCACAGTCACATCAGTCTCTGTACCAGAGGAGCTTACACTCTAATGTCCCCTCCCCCACAGTCACACACTATTATTATTATTATACATTTATATAGCTCTGACATATACTGCAGCGCTGTACAGAAAACACTGAGCCAGTCACATCAGTCTCTGTACCAGAGGAGCTTACACTCTAATGTACCCCCTACCCCACAGTCACATCAGTCTCTGTACAGAGGAGCTTACACTCTAATGTCCCCTCCCCCACAGTCACACACATTGTTATTATACATTTCTAGAGCTCTGACATATACCGCGGCACTGTACAGAGAACACTGAGCCAGTCACATATTCTCTGTACCAGAGGAGCTTACACTCTTATGTCCCCCTCCCCCACAGTCACATCAGTCTCTGTACCAGAGGAGCTTACACTCTTATGTCCCCTCCCCCACAGTCACATCAGTCTCTGTACCAGAGGAGCTTACACTCTAATGTCCCCTCCCCCCACAGTCACACACACTATTATTATTATACATTTATATAGCTCTGACATATACTGCAGCGCGCTGTACAGAAAACACTGAGCCAGTCACATCAGTCTCTGTACCAGAGGAGCTTACACTCTAATGTCCCCTCCCCCACAGTCACATCAGTCTCTGCAACAGAGGAGCTTATGCTCTCTTATGTCCCCTCCCCCACAGTCACATCAGTCTCTGTACAGAGGTGCTTACACTCTTATGTCCCCTCCCCCACAGTCACATCAGTCTCTGTACCAGAGAAGCTTACACTCTAATGTCCCCTCCCCCCCCACAGTCACATCAGTCTCTGTACCAGAGGAGCTTACACTCTAATGTCCCCTCCCCCACAGTCACACACTATTATTATTATACATTTATATAACTCTGACATATACCGCAGCACTGTACAGAGAACACTGAGCCAGTCACATCAGTCTTTGCACCAGAGGAGCTTACACTCTAATGTCCCCTCCTCCCCACAGTCACATCAGTCTCTGTACAGAGGAGCTTACACTCCTATGTCCCCTCCCCCACAGTCACATCAGTCTCTGTACCAGAGGAGCTTACACTCTAATATCCCCTCCCCCTCAGTCACACACTATTATTATACATTTATATAGCTCTGACATATACCGCAGTGCTGTACAGAGAACACTGAGCCGGTCACATCAGTCTCTGTACCAGAGGAGCTTACACTCTAATGTCCCCTCCCCCACAGTCACACACCCATTATTATTGTCCATTTATCATCATCATGAGATGTAACGTGTGTGGTCAGATTGGTCACCCTATAGCCAATGCCCCGAGGCTATGCACAATAAGCTGGAGTTAGTAGAGGAGTTTTTCCGACTGGATAGGGAAGACTCTGAGGTTGTACCAGGGGACCCTAGTGTCTCTGTCCCGTCAGAATCTGTGGGTCTGTGAGGTCGTCTGAGGTGCCAGTGTCCCCCCAGTCTGTGGTTCCCCAGTCAGTGTCAGAACGTGTGGTTGTCAAGTCTGTGTCTAAACCTGTTGTTTCTGCTGGAGTAGTGAAGGGTGCTGGACCATCACGCATGGTGGCACCAACCCCTGATCCTCGGCATGGCAGAAGTGCAGCTGTAAGTCAGCAGACCCCGAGGGGTGGAGTGGGCGATGGATTGGATGATGGTGGGGGGGGAAGGTGGGAAGGGGATGAGGGAAGGTGGCTGATGTAGAATGCAAGGTGAATTATATGGAAAGAGGGGTGGATGATGTGGGGAGAGAAGTAAATGGGGGGGGTTGTCAGAGGATGTCCTGGGAGGCGGGGTTCTACCATCAGGATTGTCAAATGCGGATATGAAATGGTTGGAGGCTAAAAGTAAAAAATGGCGGAGGAGGAGGAGGAAGGATGTCAGTGTTCCAGAACCAGTGAGGGTGGAGGTGTCAAATGTTTTTGAGGTGTTTTCTGAGGTAGAGGGTGAGGGTTCTTCAGGTGATGAGTCGTGATTTCCATGGAGGAGGACTCACAAGGAATATTGAAGCATGTAGGATCTCCAAGTAGTGAGGGGGGTACTTCAATCATCCCGATGGCGGTTCCCACTCCTTTGAAAGTGGCGACCATTAATGTCTCCAGCATAAAGTCAGTAAGCGCTCGTAACATGGCCTTATTTTTGCTCAGCAGGTTTGATGGTGATATTTTCTTCTTGCAGGAGACCAGGTTGTCCAGTTTGGGGGATGTTCATATAGCGAAGAAGGAGTGGAGGGGCGACCCCTTCTTCTGGTCTCTTGTGGCCAAGCCTTACACTGGAGTTGCGGTACTTTTTTCCGGCATGGTAACCTGTCGGCGGATTATTGAGGTAGAAATGGGGAGATGCATGGTCTTAGACGTCTTCATGGGGGGGCAGGACCTACACCTGATTAACATCTATAGGCCCCAGACAAAATGGGACAGGAAATGCCTCTTCATGAAGATCAAGCCTTTTCTTTTTACAGCCCAGCAAGTTGTCTTCGGTGGTGACTTTAACACCATCACTAGGACTACGGACAGGAAAGGTCCCGGAGCCAGGCTGGACTATGACGGCTAGAGAGGCAGGTCTGGTTGATGTGCACATTCATTGCTGCCCAGAGGACATGGGATTCACTTTTCAGCGAGGTGCTAGTCAGAGTAGAATAGATAGATTTTTTTTAAAGGGGAACTCTGCCTTCTCGGCACCAGTGTGTCAGGCGGTGGAGTTTTCCGATCACTGTATTCTGTCTGTGACTCTGAGTGGCCCCAATACACCACCTAGGGGGAGGAGTACCTGGAAGCTGAATTCGGCACTCCTGGACTATGAGAAGGTGAGTCAATCCTTTGAGGATGTTTTCAGGCACAGGTCTCAATCATGGACGTTTGCAGCAGTAAGTCCGAGTGGTGGGGATCTTAAGGATCGTTGGGTTTTTTCAAGGCCATAGGAAGAAATAAACAGCTTGACAAGTATGTCTGTGGAGGAAGCTCGATCGGCTTGTCTCGAATAATGGAGATCCGGGGGTGATCTCTGAGGTTAAACTCTTGCTCAGGCAGTGTCAATATGACAGGCATGCCTCTTTGATTCTGGAAAGGGATTATGGGAAATATCACTCGCCCCACCCTTACCAGAATTGCAAACAAGGTAGAGCAGTTAAGTAGCCTGGTTGACAGTACGGGTTCCCTGCCAAAGTCCAAGTCGGGGATCCTGGAAACCTCCAGGTCATATTATGCTGACCTCCTGGGTAGGAGGGACCTCAATCGGGCGAGCATGTTGGGTTTTTCTGGACTCTACTTCAGGACTGGGGAAATGGCAGTTCTCCTGTGAGTTTGACAGAGGACATCACGGCAGATGAGGTGGTGAAAGCTATTGATCAGTTTGCCATGAAGAAGTCGCCTGGGCCAGACGGATTGACAGCCGAGTTTTATAAGAACTTTAAGGTTCCTCTGGCCCCATATTTGGTGGAGGTTTTTAATGGCTGTCTGAGAGAGGGTTCGCTCTCTCCCTCCATGCGACAATCTGCAGCGATTGTAAAGATTCTTCAAGAATTGAGAATTGGCGGCCCATTAGCCTTCTCAATGTTGATAGGAAGGTACTGACAAAGATCACTTTCTGGCGTTTATCGTCTGTTGCGGGCAATTTCCTTTCTCGCCATCAGCACTGTACGGTTCAGGGTAGAAGCACTTTTTCAGCGGTGTTAGTTGTCCAGATGGCTCTGGAATGGTGCAGGGCTGCAGGCTGGGGAAAGTTCTTGCTGGCATTGGATCAGGCCAAAGCTTTTGATTGGGTCAATCATGAGTACCTATGGCTGCTTCTTGGTAAGTATGGCCTGGAGGGGGGCTTTATCGATTGGCTAAAGACCTTATACAGAGGGGCTAAAAGCTTCATGTTTGAAAATGGTTGGATTGGACGTCCCTTTGAGGTTGAGTCCTCTGCTATATGCGTTCGCAATCGATCCCTTCATTCGGAGGTTAGATAGCGGACCCTTGTGTGGGGTTCCTTTGGGCATTCCTGGGGAGCCCCCTCTGAGGGTCGTGGCCTATTCTGATGACGTGTCCTGTTTTCATCTCCGGACACAGGAGGCGGAGGAGGTGGTCTCGGTGATGGAACAGTATGCTGAGGCAGGAGGTGGAGGAGGTGGTCTCGGTGATGGAACAGTAATGCTGAGGCAGGAGGTGGAGG